GGTGTTGAAATATTTAGTAGTACCTCTGCATAACAGTTTTTTTTTAATATTGCGAGCTAGCATATTAGATATATTTTTCAAAAATATTGCGAATTAGTAACGGCAAATTTTGCTAGTTAATAAAAAAAAAAGTTCAATAATAACAAGCCTTTTAGTAATTGAGACTATTTTTTATGGAATAGGCGGCAAACGAGCATCCGATTACCTGATGTTAAGTGAACTACCGCCCATGAATACCTGCAGGCCGAGAGTCATAAACACGTTGCTGCCCTTTTATGCTCCTCCTCCCCTTGGATTAGAAAGGGAGGGGGTAGGCTCTGCTTACTCCTGCTGTCTTTACACCTAAGGTTTGTTGAAAGAGAACTCAAATACGCTCAGCTTATCTTCATGCGTACTAGTCTCCTTATGAATAATTTTTAAATGTTTTTGTATGTAAAAAGAAAAAGTAAATATTAATAAAAGTAAATGAGCTCACAACAGCAACTTATGACACCACAAGCTATTGTTTCATACATTTTTGACCTTTATATTCGCACTATTAATGTTTATATTAAACTCAGCCTGTGTTATTATATTTTCTCATGTTTTCAGTCGTCTCTACATCACAAGAAGGTGGTAAAAGCATTTCCTACAAACCTACGAAATAAAACAAGTCCTAAGTTTGCTTCCACATGGCGCCCGCGGGAAGTTAGGAGCTGCGGTAATTTACATACTAAAAGTTTTCACACTTTAAAAGCTTTTAGAAACCCTGTCGAGACCGACTGCGCTGGATATCGTTGATGCTTTAAGCTAAGGAAGTTTACAGATTCACGGCTTCACACTTAGGATGTGGGGTTCATCAGACATCTAAACATGAATTAACTCACACAGACCCTATTGATGTCGATGTCCTAATGGCCGATCCAATTACAAGACTGACATGCGGGTACAATATCCTAGTTTTGACACCTCTGTATATAAGTATCTAAATATATTGACCCCATTTACACGAGAGTTGAGTTTGGATTGAAATACGTTGATAATGTAACTATATATTATATAATATAAACATATATTGTCTATTTACGTACAATACAATATGATAGTGTGAATTCACGTCGGAACTTTTGGAATTGAAAGATACAAAATAATTTCCTGTTATAATTTTCAAATTTTTATTTCTGTCAGCACTCCCGGCGTGCCACTTTTTTTTAGCAAACGAGCAGATAACGCCTGTAAGTAAATAACTAAGTAACTACAGCCGTCCCTGGACATTTGCAACTCCAAGGACAAAGATGTGTTGTGACCATAAAGATATAAGCATAGGGAGAACACGGGGTACAGCTGCCTGTAAGTGGAAGCGATACAAGCAACAAGAGAGATAGATACCCGATAGTTCTCTCTGTCTCTGTTTAGCTAAGCAGAATTAATGGGGGGCTCCGCTAATCTCACTAGCTAGGTAAACGCATCGTCAAAAGCAAGGAAAGAATTGCTTAACAGTGGCTTTTTGTGATGTCGTGATACTACTTATGTCGAGCCGGCCTATTAGCCCCGAAGTATAGCTCTCCTAGTTTTAATACGGATTAAGTAACACATCTTTCTTTTTGAAGTGAAATTTGTTTAGCAACGTTATGATTTGAAAATTCGATGAAACGAAAAAGCGACAGTGAAAAGAAACAAACATATTCATAAAAGAATTTAGCATACGAGAGAATGAGATAGATTACAAGTATACAGTGTTTACTGTAATCTTCGTCTCTTCTATGCTATCACGTGTCTTTGCGCCTGCGTACAACGAAGCCTTCAGAAAATGTGGTGTATCATTCACGTGTTTATTTTTTTTTTTGCATTTGCGTATTAAAATTCGTTGGTTAATAAATTTATGTTTATTATTTAACACATCTGTGTAAATTTGAGCAATAATTTTATTTATTTAAATGATCTAAAATTAAATTGAATAACATTAGTAAATTATTTGTTTTGATTTTATACACAATAATATTTTATAGTGTAATTTTTTTTAATATAATATTTTGACAGTGTATATTTTTGATTTTATTTAAAAAAAAAACCTGAAGTTTCACTTCTGCCGTGTGTAAATTACACACACACACACACACACTTTTTTTCTTTTTTTTATTGCAGTGGAAATATCTTAAAAGTCTATTTATATTTATGAAAATTTTCCATCGACGTTTTTTTTTCGTAATTAATATTGTATTGTATCTATATATCATCATCAACTTTAATAATTCTCAGCTGGACATAGGCATCTCCTGAGAAAGGAGGTTTCGGCCTAATATACCACGCTGGCTACAGGGTTTGTGTCAAGTTACATCCATATTTATGTTTCTTCCTTATTCTTTTTTCTTCTTTTAAATAGCTAGTGCAACTTTATTACAAAAGCCTACCTAATACTACTTATTGAGTTAAAACACGAACTTGTTGGTTGTTTTCGAAACCTGGAAACCAACTAGTTCAAGTATTTCTGAAACAGTTAAATCTTTATTTCTGGGTGGCAACCAATGTTACGGAATATTTTTGGGAACTAGTCAGACCTACTACAACATAAGGACACACCAAACATAAAAACCGTGCCAAACGAACGAAATATTTCTACGAAGGTACACGTATTTCCTTGAAGGTGGTTACCTTCTACTTAGGTCTTGACCTGTCCTTATTTCAGCCACTGCAACAAACTACGAGCGAGCTTGTGCAATGGCAGAGCCCTATGTCTTTACAAGTATGTTTGTAACCTTCCTCTTATCGTCCGTCGTATCGTGTATCCACACAACCAAAGATACCTGTGGAAGTAGAGGAAAACGCTTAAACTTCGAGTGTAGTAGTAACATATCTACTTATTACAATTACGACCATCGCAAAACGATAAATCGCACTACCTTTAAAACTTACGTGTTCCCTTTTCTAACTGTAATAATTCTTTTTTGACAAAAATCAGGAAAGGAGGATTTTTCTTTAAAACTGTGACTTTTTAAACATAGAAAATATTTTATACCTGATTTTGGTCAATGAAAAATTATTATAATTATTATATAACTTGGTAATACCGTGGTGATGGTTATCAACACGACAAAAATTTGTGTGATGACCACGATAATATGTTCTCGGTCTGGAGATAATTTATTTGTAAAACTTAAAATTTAGAAATAGAAAAGAATGTTATTACACTTTTTGTTTCTTGGCCTAGTGTGGGAATAGACGGCTGTGTAGGACATCTAGAGATAACTCAAGTAATCGTGGTGGGTAAGGCACATGGGCCAGCTCGACAGGGGTAATACAACGGTGTCATACAAAACAAGTGTTCTCTCATTGCTTTGCCGCGAATGAGTGAGGTTTCAAGAGCACCAGACCCTTCTTCCCTCACCTGCCCACTTTTCCCCTCTAATACTAGGGAGGGCAACAACAAAGAGTGGCAAGGTGCCAATAGCCATTTACAATCAGGGGACACGTCTGCATGTATTCCTAACATTTTTAAGAAATATAAAAGTGTAGCCGTTATACCCAATTCACTTATTTATAAAAATGTCTTGCTGCACAAATTTGCTATCAAGCGTTGAATAATTAAATTTGCAACATGGTCAGAACTAAAAAACGAACACTGTACCAAATGTCAAAAAAGTCATATTTTTTTTAAATAATTTTAATGTTAATATTGCACACAAATATAACTAATATGCGTGTGTTGGAATGCTTAAACAACTAAGATAATTATGTTTGTACCAACTTTTCAGCAAAAAAATGAATTTGAAACATTATTTCTACCCTCTCACATGTTATCTATTCCTTTGATGCAGACATAAGTTTTCCATGCCTAAAGAAATATTGCAAATTCTGAGTATGCATAATTCTATACATATTTATATTGAGTACTTAATAACAGAATTAAATGGTTAAGAATATATCATTCACTATTAGTAAGTCTTTGTTTTGATCGGAAACGTGTTCAAAAACCTTCAAATCAGATGATAAGATGGCTCGTCTTCACCGGGTGTAATGCCAGTAGACGGGCGTGTCGCAGCGACCCGGTAACCGAGCGCTATGACCGCGTGACCCGGTCGTAGCCTGACCCGGTTACCGCGCAGCAGCCGGGTATGCAATCCGCCCCTCGTCCCGTCGTCGCTTGCATTCCGCGATTGATTCGATGCAATATCAGTAGTATTTTTTTGTTAGTATGTGTGTCGCTATAAAATACCCGTGTTGGAAACAGTATTGGCATGACGTAACTAAAAATGTTAGCCACTTATATCTAGAAGGAAGGAAACGAAAGAATGTAGAATATTTAGACTTTTTTGATTATCAAATAAAAAAAATTATTATGTAAAATTTAGTTTTTTTTAAAGAAATAAAAAACTTAAAATACTATGTTTCATATATTTATGTAAAACTAGCTTTTGGCTATGGCTTCGCCGTTTATGTCGGTTATCGCGGTAAAAAGAAGCCTTTTTTTTCCGTGCGGAAATCCCCTCGGATACCATCTATCGGTGGCATGTCGGACTCGAACCGACTAAAACCGCACGTGCCCCGACATACCTCGGGCCATCTACAGACGAGTAGACGACCCCCCCCCCCGTGTGGGAACCCCATTTTCCCCTGCTCCCTGCACTCCGGCCTGCTTCTGCTAGGGTGACAGATGGCCTCACCTGTCACCCCCAGGCCTGCGCTTATGGAGGACGGAGATCGTTCTGCGGGTAAAAAGAAGCCTATGTTACTCGTTGATTATATAGCTTTCCATTGGTGAAAGAATTTTTAAAACGGGTTAGTGTTATAACAAACATACAAACTAACCTTCATATTTATAATATAAGTATGGATTATTACTTCGATAATTATTTAACGTGATCAATAGGTTTTACCTACATAATTTTGACGTTTCAATCAGGTTTTACTGGCCGTGGTAACACAAAGTCAGCCTTTGGCATAATATCTATATAATCATATTTATCATGGAATACGAAAGCTTACAAATAAGTTTAAAAATGATAATAAACCATTCATATGTTTTATTCAAAGAGACGCTTATCAAATGTGTTGTTCAGTTCTTTTGGCGCGCTGCTATCAAAGGTGACAGATTGGTCAAACTTGGTGAACTTTAAGTCACCTTTTAAATTCTTCTCAAAATCGTCATAGTCAGGATCTGAAGTACATGACACGTTATTATTATCTGCCTTAGGGATGTTGATCATGTTCTTTATTACCGACTTTATAATACGCTTTAAAATGCTCAACTCTTTCGATAATTTCTTCACCAAATTTGTTTTAGACATCAACAAAGTTTTTAATTTTTCATTCTCTAGCTTTAAGTTTAAATATTTCGTTTGAATGTCCATTTCCATCTGGTTTGCAGAATCTAATTGTTTTTTCATCTCTCTCATACAAATTTGGAAACTAATGCGAGACTTTTCTAAGATATTGTTTGTTTTAATCAATTCTTGTTTTAGGGATTCAAAATTTTCTGGCGCATGTCTTCCAGCTATATCTTGGTGAAGTGGGATGCCTATTTTCTGCTTATTATTGGGTACTTCTTTCACTATAACTTCTACAGCGGTTGTTTTGTTCCTGAAGACTTCGTATGCTGTACTTTGATCTGAATCAATGTGATTTTTTACTGTTTTCCCTTTTTGGAGATTGTATGCGTTAAATAAGTCATCAGAGAGTGACATATTTAGTATATTTTTAATAAGTTTTGTGTTGTATTTATGACACTAATATATTTTGAACAAAAATCAATATAAAACGACAAGGTACAGTTTTTTTTGGTTTATTTGAACTATCGATCAAATTGACAGTTTCGGCGTTCATAATGGTCATAGACAGGAAAGTTTTATTTTTCTTTTATATAAATAGTATGACCATAAATAAGTACCTATTTTAGTTTTATGAATATAGCTAATTTTAGTAAAAAAATCTTTTTTTTCATTGACTGCTACTGAGGCTCCTAATCAGCAATTGACTAAAAAAAGCCACAAGAGACTCACTCAGCCTTTTTTTCATATTTATTTAATGTTGTAACAATCAAGTTAATACACAACATATTTTGTTAATGAGAATGAACAAATCATCACACTACCAAGCAGTCTTGTCATTCAAACAATCCTTAATGCCATGGTAGCTTTTTAAAACAATTTAGAATGTGTACTTTTTCGAACTACATTACTGATAATCATCATCATCAACAACCTTTAATCACATTAACAGCCTGTAATAGTCCACTGCTGGACATAGGCCTCTCCTTAGAAAGCAGGTTTTGGCCTACTATACCACGCTGGCCGAACGGGTTGGTATAGGGTTTGTGTGGGGTGCTGGGCTAGAAAACCTCCTCGTGGTGCACCCTGGAAACGCTGGCGATGGTACTGTTCCCTCCTTGTCCTCTTGGAGGAGAGGATTATCGCCAGCGGCCAATATTCTAGCAGAAGAGGCAGCCGTTCATCGGCTCTCGGGCAAGGCCTGGTCCAGCAGGGTGGGCGTGTCTGCCGGTTGCCCTGCTGGCTCTTCGCTCTTCGGAGCATGGAGGAGGAAACCTCGGTAAAAAACCTGATGGCGGGGCCCTGTAGGGGCCACAGTTTCTCCGCTGACAGCGGTGGAGAAAGGAGGACGGGCTCGGCGTGTACTCACACTACCACCGAGCAGGCAGGGGGACGTAGTCTCCCTGTCAACCGTCGGCATATCGTAATCCCGAGAAGAGCGCTGTGGTTAAGTCTCGCGGCTCTGATCGGGGACGAGGGTCTTGGCTTAACCGCCCGGACCGCGAGGAAGATAACCTCTCTAAAAAATTCCCCGAATCCCGTGTTCTGGTGCGTGGCCAGGGGATGCATGGCTGATGGGAAGTTCAGTCGCGAGCGCACTCCAAGCCGAGGTACCTGCGGACCCCTCGGTTGGGTTAAAAACTTACGCTTGCCCGGGTAATGGGGGATCTCTGCCCGGGTGGACCTTTAGTTCTCCCCCACTCGTGGGATTATTATGGAAAATCTTAATTTAACCAAAAAGAAAACGATCGGAAAGAAAACACAACAGACAAAGGCAAGCCTAACGGACAAGGAGACGAAGAGCAGGAACAGTGGAGTGGATGGGTCGTCCACTGAGGGCGAGATGGTGTCGGGAACGCCTATCTCGATGGGGCTCCCAGAGGTCAGTCTGACTCTGGTCACTGGGAGCCGAAGAGCATCGGATCGGCTGCGTTCCGGATCCGCCGCTTCATCGGATGGCGCGGAGGCCATGGAAGCGGAGCGGAGCGACAGCCGGAAACGCGGACGCTCAGGGGACGTGGAATCCGACACGTCCGGCGAAATGATGCCACCAAAGGTGGCAAGCAGCCGCCGAGGGAGGGCGCGCAAACCGGCCTCGGTCGCGATCCCGTCAGGCTCCGCGTTCTCCAACGCGGAGTCGTACAGGAGCGTACGGGTGGACGGCGAGGCCGTAGCGGAGGAGGAGATCGCGGATCTCCTGCTCAAGGTTCGGGAGCCGGTGGGGGGAAATGCCCCCCAGGCTCCCGTGTCCGTGCAGGAGAGGGCGAAAGCGGCGGTGGCCGTCATCGACAAGGTGGCCACCAAATCCGTGAACCTTAAGGGCTCGTTTGTGAGGGCCCTTAAGGACTCCTCCTCCGCTTTGTCGGAGGTCGTGGAGGGCCTAGCGGGCGACGTCTCTCGCCTGCAGGTGGCCAACGAGAGGCTGACGGAGCGGGTGAACGAGCTGAGTGCTCAGTTCGCCCGCTTCCAGGCGAACCTCCCCGAGCGGGAAGCCCCGTCCGCGTCCCAGCCTGCCCCTACCACCAACTCAGGGGCATTTGACTCCCAACTGCGAGAAATCCTCATCGCAGTTGGGAATATGCTGGACGGACGCCTGGCTGGCCTGGAGGCGAGACTGCCCCCTGCGCCGAGTATGCGCCCCCCGCTCGCGTCGGCACAGCGGCCTAAGGCCGCCGCTCCGACCGCGCTGCCCGTAGTGGGAGGCCGCGTCTCCTACGCGGCGGCGGCGTCTGCCCCGACTCCATCGGCTCCCCAAAAGCCGAGGAGGGGGGCCAAGGCACCGGCCCAGGCGCCGGCCAAGGCACCGGCTAAGGCGCCGGCCAAGGCACATCCCCAGGCGCCGGCCAAGACGGGGCCTAAAACGGCGCCGAGGAGCGGAGTGGCATTCCCTCCGCTCCCCACTCCGACACCCCTGCCGGGCCCCTCCGCACCTGCCCCCTCCAACGAGGGTTGGCAGGAGGCGAGGGGCTCCAAGAAGTCCCGAAGGCGGGCCAAAAAGGCTGCCAAAAAAGCAGCCCAGGCCCAGCCTTCGCCACCGGTGGCAACGGCCTCCACAAAGAGGCCGCGGAAGCTGCAGCCGCCCAAAACCGCGGCTGTAGTGGTGACCGTGTCCCCGGAGGCGGCGGACGGCGGGCTGTCCTACGCGGCCGTCTTCAAAAAGGCCCGGGACAGCCTCGCCAACGACTTCGGAACGGTGGGGGTCAGGATGCGCCTCGCCCAGACGGGAGCTCGAGTTCTCGAGTTCCCTGGGGCTGAAGGCGCAAAGACGGCGGACTCCTTCGCTGAGAAGCTGCGGGGAATATTTGCAGCCACAGATGGTGTCAGGGTCGCCAGGCCTACCAAGTGCGCGGAACTGCGCATCTCGGGCCTGGACGACTCAGTGACGGCCGAAGATGTCCGCGCTGTAATCCGGGAGAAGACGGGGTGCAGCGCGGACAACGTCAGGGTCGGCACCATCCGCCCCGGTCCAGGAGGGCTTGGCGCCGTGTGGGTCAGCTGTCCCGTAGCGTCGGCCAAAGTATTGGCCGACGCCGGCAGGCTGCTCATCGGTTTCGTGAGCGCCAGGATCACAGTCCTGGCGGCGAGACCGATGAGATGCTACAAATGCCTGGCATCGGGACACACGCGCGTCAAGTGCGACAGTTGTTTTGACTGCGGCGGACTGTGTTTCCGCTGCGGTCAACCGGGGCATAAGGCGGCAGAATGCTCTGCCGCCCCTCACTGCCCAGTGTGTGCGGCGGGCAATAAGCCCGCCAATCACCAGATGGGGCAGAGAGGCTGCAAGCCTCCCCGCAGTTCTCGGCAGACGTCGGGGGTTAGCCAGTCGGCCCAGGCTGCCTCCGATGTAGTTCGTGCGTCGACGTCGTCGCCCATGGAGGAGGTTGTAGAGACGATCCAGTAATGGATCAAGTCTCCAACCTCCTGGTCCAGACGAACCTGAACCACTGTGCCGCGGCGCAGGATCTCTTCCTGCAAACCATGGCACAGTGGTCGATAGGTGTTGCCGTAGTCGCGGAGCCCTATTCTGTCCCTCCCCGTCCAAACTGGATGGGTGACTGGGACGGCTCCGTGGCAGTCGTCGGTTCCACGACGGCTCATTCCCCGCCCTTGTCGCTAAGAGACAAGGGCACTGGATATGTTGCCGTCGAGTGGGGGGGGATCACCATATATGGTGTCTATTTCTCCCCCAGCCGGAGTTTGAACGACTTCGAGGTTTTCCTAATCAGCTTGGAGACCTCGATACGGCGACTAGCGTCTGGGCACGTCCTTGTGCTGGGGGACTTCAACGCAAAGTCCATTGCGTGGGGTTCCCCCAGGACGGACGCCAGGGGCGAGGCCGTAGAGGAGTGGGCGGCCTCGGTGGGCCTCTGTCTTCTAAACAGAGGCTCCACCAACACGTGCGTGCGACAGCAGGGGGGGTCGATAGTGGACCTCTCGTTCGCTACCCCTGCCCTCGCCGCACGAGTAAGGAACTGGCGTGTCCTGGAAGAGGTTGAGACGCTCTCGGATCACCTGTATATCCGATTTGAGCTCTCCCGGACCCAGGACTCCAGTAGGGGTCACGTGGCGCGGCGTTTATCCCGCTTTCCGCGGTGGGCTGTTGCCAGGCTGAACCGGGACCTACTAGAGGAGGCAGCCATAATTCACTCGTGGCTGTCTCCTCAGGCTCCGACCGAGGAGGTCGACGCGGGGGCTGGCCGCTTTCGCGATGCGATTACGCATGTATGCGATGCGGCCATGCCCCGCGTTCGAGGTCGTCGGCCTCCAAGGAAGGAGGTCTACTGGTGGTCCCAGGAGCTGGCGGACCTCCGTGCGGCCTGTACACGTGCCCGGAGGTCCTACACACGCAGTCGGCGGCGTCACCGTGGAGACGGTGAGGAGGACCGGCTTCATGAGGAGTACCGGCGGGCGCGGAAAACTCTGAAGCTGGCCATTAGCCGCGCCAAAGAGGAAAAGAGACAGGAGATGCTGGAGGGTCTTAATCGTGACCCCTGGGGTCGCCCTTACCGCGCGGTGCGACAAAAGCTCCGCGCGTCGGGCCCCCCCCTTACGGAGACTCTCCAGCCCAGCTTCCTGCGAGAAGTGGTTGAGGGCCTTTTCCCACAACGAGCGGAACACACTCCCCCGTCGATGGCCTCCCTGGCCGGAGACGACGGGGAGCACGGGGAGGACAATGTTCCGCCCGTCCGGGATTCGGAGGTAGGGGCGGCTGTTCTACGGATCCGTTCCAAGAACACCGCCCCTGGGCCAGACGGGGTACCGGCCCGAGTGCTGGCCCTGGCCCTCAACCACATGGCAGACCGCCTCGGGGAGGTGTTCGACGCTAGCTTGGCGTCGGGACGCTTCCCTGAGTGCTGGAAAAGCGGGAAGCTGGTCCTATTGAGGAAGCCGGGACGGCCAGCCGATTCGGTCGCGGC